ATCGAATTTTACAAAGACGCCGATCTAAATAGAATGAATATCCAGTAAAAAAGGACCTCGACTCGGATAAACTGAAGCGTGACATGATGGAAATGCCGATCTTGACAATGTTGTTAATCAGATCCATTTAGCCAAACGTAACATGTACGTGCTGTTTAATGTTTGATGGTCCATCCGAAATCAAGTGCCAGTATCTTTACGCGCGCTCGTGGGGGAAGAAGGGAATCGAGGGTCGCGACGAATTCATCTTAAGATATCATCATCTATCTGCACACATCACGTATCGGCATTCTATAGGCTTCTTCATCGCTTCTCCTTCCCTATTGTCCTCCAGACACCGTTAGGCGCCACCATAGCCGCTCCGCCATCGCCGGTTTCGCAGGATGGGCACAAGTGAACGATCCTTGGTCTGGTCATTCCCCCTTTGCCGGCCCCGATCATCGAGGTCGACACCTCCAGGAACTTTCTATCCGATCTGATCACAAACCGAGGTCAAAAGCTCTCTCTCACCGAGGTAACTTCCGCACACTCTGTTTCTGCCGCTTATGAATGAAACAGAAGCCGGTGAGCTTTAGCTGATGTTTGTGAGTGAATTGGTTGGGATCGAAGCTCCATTAACAACCCGGACTTGTACTGTTGTTGGTGTCGTGATGATCTGAAAGTGAATCGTTGCTTTGTATTTTCGTATAAGCTCCCCGATTTAAATGCATATCACTTTGTTTGTGTCATTTGTATCAGGTTGTAGTTATATGATTTGATTCTCAAAATTTCTTTAAAATTGTCAATTTTTTTTTTGAAAGACATTCAATATCTTGATGTCCAATTGGATACATACAATTTCATGAATCCATATTTGTTTTAAATCCAATTCAAACAAAATATAAAAGTATCGCGTGGCAAACCCATCAACGACCCGAAACGGCCACATATCGGGATTTAGCATGTTGAGTTGAGAATCGAGAATGAGGGATCATGGAAATTATTTCTCTTTCTAATTAATTCGGATCGAATTATCTTTATTGATAGTTGTATTAACATCTTATTTAATGTTTTGGTCATGCTAAAAGGCTAATTTCCACTCAAAGTGAATAATACATCAGAATAAAGATTCGATATCAGTTAGGCACATTTTGCGTATAATCGTTGGGTTAGTTTCTAACTTCCTTCATAACAGCATATCCTCAAACGAGGATTGATCCTTTTACATTTAGGTCAGATCGGGTTCGAGTTCGTCGAGTTTGTAAGTCAGCTCGAGTTTGGATTAGGTCAGTTTTCTGGTGGATTGAATGACTTTGTCAATCAGAAATCATAACCTCCGGAGAGAAGCCGAATTAATAGGTGGCGCTTCACGGGCTTCCATGTCGGCATTTGGTATATGGCCATGCGCCATTAAAGAAGTTGAGATTCGGGGGAGTCACATGTCTGAACATCAACATGATCACAATCACTCAATTAGCCGAGGTAATACGAGCAACCCCAGGTTTACGGATATGTTTAAATGTAAATTGTGGTTGACAGCCTTGCTGCAGCAAGAGCAATTATTCGAGATCATCATCAAGAGCGCGGTTCTACCTAAGCTTCATGGCTATCAATCAAGGGCTTAGCCTGACATAGTTTGTAGGATGGATTCATGATCTCGAACGGTCAGAGTAGAATTGCATTCTTCAATTGCAGAGTCACAAGAGTGATCCCTCACAACATCACATCAACTTGTTAGAACAATCAGTTAACAGAGAACCTAAAAAATGATAAGATTGCAACTAGCTCAAAAAAGAGAACAAAGACAAAAACAAGTGCACTTTCAATTGGTTTGAGCTAATAAATACGGCGTAAAGTGACGCTTCCTTTGTTCATCTCAATTCAACCTGAATCAGGTCCTTACCAGCCACCACGTTGTTCCTATCAATGAGCTCAAACACAGACATCTCCTTTACACCGACGAGTTTCTCTCGCCAACGTTGACCAACCACCAGCGAAGTTTGCAGTGCAGTACTATTCTGATTACACACACAAACATAAAGGTTACATTACGATTACTGTTCTGATTGCCTGTTTACCAAGTTCCATTACTCGGTCAGTAGGATGGTCGGTTAGCCATAAACAATGTGGTTACCAAGTTCCATTACTGTTCTGAGATATGTCTCTCCATCGGTGAGCTCGAACACGCAGAAATCTCCTACGCAGACGTGTTTCTAATCACAAATGCTTGCCAACAGGCAGAGAAGAACGCCACATGCTTAAGTCACAAATGCTATGTGTTCATGAAAATGTTTCTTGATGAAGCCACAAGGAGTACTCAGCCCATGCGCATTTTCAAAGCAGCCAGCGTGAAAAGGAGAGACCCTACATATACTCTCACGAGAGAAGGACACGAGATGTAGACTTAGGGGCGATGAATTGCTGCTAGTTTGAGGACCTCTATTGGTCCATGGTCTGAAGCAGTGGGCTGAGAAATTTACATGGACAACACTGAGCTGTGGAACGAATTTTGAAAGCAGAGCCCTAGCTGAAGAAGACTGCGATTGAGGAAGAAATTTCACGAAAATAGGGAGAATTGATTGTGAAGAAGCCTGAACTTACGAGTTTGCCGGATGCAGAAGCCCAGTGGTGGCTCGACAGTGTCCAGTAGATGGCAAACGGATGGACTTGCTTCCGCGAGAGAGATCGATGTATTATCAATTGTGAGTTGTGATCGATTATCGATGGAGCCGAGGAGAAAAAACCACAAAAAATCTCAAACTATACTCACTGTGACACATTTACCATAATTTTTTTTTTATGATTGATCTTCAATTTGGAGAGTTTGCTTTTACATGGAAAAGCACAAAATATTGGACAGGGAAGAAAAACGGGACACTGAAAATATCAAATTTATACATATGCGACACATTTACCCTCCGTCAATATTCTGTCGATGAATACCGTTAAAAATCTACCTACATTGACGAGATAAGGCAAACGGTGGCTTACATGAAATCAGAACGGCATCGATTTAATTGGAAAATCATCTGATGAAATCTTGACAGGAGTGTAAATAGATCACACATGTACAGTTTTTGGGATTCTCAATGTCCAAAAGAAAAGGTTTAGAGTAAATATGCAATAGTGGACATAATTTTGGATTTTGGATGTCACAAAAAGGTTTAGAGTAAATATGTCACGATAAATATATTTTTGAGTTTTTTGATGACTTTAAAAAAATTGATGATGATGAGGAGTTAGTGGACGAATCTTTCTCTCAACGAATGCCATCTGTTGTGCAGGTTTTCCTTTGATCGACTTCTTGTGGGCTCTCTATTTTCTTTTGTGTCTTTTTTTTAAAAAAATTTTCTTTTATATATATATATATATATATATTAACACTTTTACTTCCATCTCATCCAACAACAACCACCGGTTCTCCCCCAAAAATCCGAACGAAACTCCACCGCCTCGCTTTCTCCTCTTCACGCTCCGCCTATTCTCGTCTCCGACGATGACGACTCTCAGATTGGCCTCGGATTCCGCCGTCGATTGATGACGATGATGATCCATCCAACCTCAGCCTTGGCAATTGGATGAAGCTCTTGTCAACACCAGCCCGCATCCCCACTTTGCGCGCGGCGGAGACGGGGCGGCGAAACGAAGGACGCAAGCGGCGGCGGCGGCGGCGGCGATGGAAACCGAAAGACGGGGATGGAGTGGAAGAGAACAGGACGGGGCAAGAATCGACTGACGTATTTGGAATGAATCGAAAATTAAACTCGGAAGTTCAATCGGATATGGAAACGACCTGACGTGATGACGGTTCAGCAGAGATGGGGCGGCGTGAGGTCGAGATGGCCCGGCGGCAGATGAATCTGGTCCAGGCATGTGCAAAGGACAAGGAGAGGGGAAAGACTTTGAATCAGAAAGAGCTTGACGATAGTGATGGTGGAGACGGTGAGCTTGAGAGAGAAAATAATAATGGAGGAAGACATTGTTGAAAAAATGAAGATGGACGGAGAGAGAATGGAGAGAGATGACTCCGGTTGAATGAAGGGGGATTGATCTCTAGCTGATGATGATTCACTGCAACCGCGAATGCAGCACCACCATCGATTCATGGAGATCGAACTCTCTCTCGCGATTGTCGCTTCGCAACGGTGCGAAGATGTGGCTTCCAAATTTCCATAGCCTTCGGTTGTGCACTGTGGAGCAGGAATCGAGTCTGCAAGGAAGGTGTTCGATGGAAAGATGAAGCCGGGCTCTGTTTCGAAGAATACCCATTCGAGATCGAGAGAGAGAGAGAGAGAGAGAGAAAGAATCGGCGAGCTTTATCCGGCAGCGAGAGCAAGTTCAAGATCGAGAGCGCGGGATGTTGTCGATCCTAAGACGAAAAGCCACCGCCGGAGGAGGCGCGGATGCTGCTGTTTTGTGGAGAGAGAGGTCGCAGAAGAGTTGTGCAGCAGCGACGCGCTTAACAGAGTTATGCCACTGCAGGGAAAGAGATGACCGTGAGAGTGGCATGGCCGAGTGGCTAGGCAGGGGACTAGAAATCCTTTTTCCCCATTTAAACAATGACGAATTTAGTAGACATTGGTGTGAAAATTTCTTTAATTTGTTTTTTTGGTCGAGGAAAATTTCTTTAATTGACTAACCTTCAAAAGATGTAGCATAGATATAAAATTGCTTTGCCATGCATATCATGATTTAATTTGACAAAATAAATTCTGAATGCTCTTCCCTTGAGAAGAAACTAATAAATTCTAATTTGCGCCCGCATGCGAAAAAAACTTATATCGTAAAATCTTCAAGAACTCGAAAAGAATCTGATGTAAGCGCACCAGAGCTTCTAAAACCATGGGTTGCACCTTGAAATTCTGAGTCAGGTATATGGCTTAAGGGAAGTGTATTCGTACGTTACCACACATTACATCGACGTTAGCAATAAGCTTCGTCTGTCTCATGACTCCTGCCCACATAGCGCCTGCTAACGCTAGGATCAAGGAAAGGTATCATACACATTCAGGACCATTCCATTCATTAGAACAGAACTCCACGCTTTTATCCGATTTGCCGAATCACAAGTACATTTTAGCCTAGCAATTCTGAAGTTATGTTCTCCCCTAATGTGAGCTAAAGGATGCTTCCTCTGCTGTGTCCTTTTGCATAGTATTATTCACCCAGGTCGTATCATTGGTTCTGAAGATGGATTCTCCGAATACGATATTGTCCCCTCTAATGAGCTAGAACACGTATATCTCCCCCCCTTCAGTTCAGAGAAGTTTCTCTCGTGAATGTGGCACAACTGGCAGATAACTTTCCACAATGTTCATGGCTGATGAGCTTCATCGGCCAACATTTGTCTTGAAATATGAGAGCCATGGTCTGCGGACTTTTCTTGATGTGCGTCTTTGAAAATGAACCAGGAACTCTCTGCTCAAGTAGACATTTCGCAATTTTTGTCATTCGAAAAAAGTAAACAACCAATGATTTCTGAGGAAGACAGTACATGTCAAGGATAAAAACATAAACTATTGACACGATGCATGATTAACCTAGAGCTAGTGTCACGCCCCGCACTCCTCGGCGCGCCACATCCCTCGCAAAGGTCGATTCGTGTACGACGTCCCAGGACACGTCGCCGACCCAACACCCAACACAGAGATTTAAAGCACATGCGAAAGTAATTAAAACCACCCGTACATTAAAATACACATAACCAAGGATAGCCATACAACAACCAGCACGGATAAATATACACTTGTTTTGACATCGGGAAACATATACAATATTCATATACAGCCCACACTCAAAAATCAAAAGCGGGTACGTGGCTCGGCGATCAAACACTATATCTAGCCGGGGCTCCTCCCAAAACGTTTCAATACGCCTGCCATCCTCAAGGCTGGGGGTCTGAAAAAAAATTGGGTTTCAACAACAGTGAGAATAAATCTCAGCGAGTAATTCCCTAAACCTAAATTAGGCTAAAGTGCACCTCCTGACGAGTACTAAATCAACACACCAAGCAAATCATAATTGACTTAGGCCCTCAGGCCCAAATCCAACACTCACAGGTTAGGCACTTACAGTTCAAGCATAAAACATAGGACCCAGTTGCAGTACATGTACACATCATTTGGTCACAACGCATATCATGCTTATGCTCGTGCTCATACGCGTGCTCACGCCTCATCAATGCATTTTCGCACGCTTGCACTCTAGCATACTTGCCATTTATCAATTTCTCCTCCGACCCGCGTTAAACGCATCAGGTCTATCACTTCGAGATCGATCTCTGGCCCGCGTAAGACGCATCAGGCTCATGACACATTACCCGCGTAAAACGCCTCAGGTTGGTCATCTTCCGGTCAACCGGGCATCGTCCCGCGTAACACGCCTCAGGACGGGTTCACTACCCCGCGTAAAACGCATCAGGGTTTATTGTGATCACACATTCACAAGCACCAATTTTCATCTGAACCCGGCGTTAAACGCATCAGGGCATTTTAGGTGATCACAATGCACATGTCACTCGAGCACACTTGTAAATGCACATGCCGTGCCAATGCTCGTGATGCGAACTCATGGCCATAAACTTCACACTCGGGCATTCACGATTTCACAATGGACATTCAATAGCACAACGCCAATTAATTAGTTCACAGTGCACCATGTCCAATCAACATTTCAATATGCCCAATCCACATATTAGCACGACCATGAAATTCAATTCAAGCACTCATGCACGGTACACAATTCACGCTTATAAATCACACAATCAGTTCAGCATGAATCCACAGAAATTGAGGCCCATCACATTATTCCCTTCCTGATAGCATTAGGCACATGTCATGGCACTACAAAATCACTCGCATTTAGGGACAATTCAACCACTAGTTCGGTCAATCCATCATTTCCGGCACTTACACTCCAAACCTCAATTCAATCGAGCCTTGTCCGACTAATTTCCAAAGTGGACAGCCACCAAATCAATTGCGCCGGGCCATTTAATGACCTCAAAATGTTCCACTAGACTCCCCAAGACACCATTTTAATCAGCCACCATAATGCCAAATAAGGTGCGCACTAGAATCCACATTTTAAACCCGAAACTTCCCAAACTTGGGCTAATCCGATCCAAATCTGTCCACCAATACGCGCTTCTCGGCTACTAAACCTCCATTTATTTATCGCACTAAGCCCGTAGAATGACCACCAAAACAGCCACCACCCGGCCTATCAATTTCATCCACTAAGTTCGCCATTTTGTCTAAATCTCGGCACCCATGCTTCGCCACATCACAGCACTATACGGGCCGCTAAACCTCGACTAAATAATCATCCTTGGTCACCAAAAACACCACCGAACCAGACCATATCACCCTCCACTATTTAGCCCCTAATTACCCTAATTAACCCCTAAAACCCATCTAGAAATGCAAATTGTCCTAATTAGGGCTTAGGGTCAAACTCACCGGATGTCCTAAGCTTGAAACGGGCCGAACACGCGACGAAAAGGGGTCGGGCGGCATGCAGTCCCTCGCCGAACAAGAATCTGGCGGTGGCGGCTCCGGCGAATCAGCGCGGCTGGCGGCGACGGCCTAAGCTAATCCACGACCGGCTGCTTGGGGTGGAACATGGTGGCGACTGGCGGCACCGGAGGCGGCAACGACGACGCGGGGGCCCGGTCGGCAAGTCAAGTGACAAGCGGGCGGCCCAAGCATGAAGGGCAAGCGGCGCGGCGAGCTCGGCTGCGCACGCGTAAGGGAGGAGAAGGCAACGTCGGGGCGGCGGCTGGCGGACAGCGCGGCGCGGCGGTCGAGCTAGCCGGCGACGGCGCGGCACACGGCGGTCCGGCGAGCCCAAGCGGTCGGCGAGCTGGTCAAAGGTGAAGCAGACCCAGTCGGCCGGGAGGAGGAGAGAAAGTGGGGGCTTCTGTGGTGGCGGCGACAGGGTGGCGACAACGGTCGGGCGGAGCGCGGTGGCGACGAGCGGGACGACGTCGGGCGAAGCGGAGTCCAGACGCGGCTCGTCGGGGAGGAAGAAGACCGAAGCAGAAAAAAAGAAAGGAAGAAGAAAGAGAAGAAGAAGGAAGAAGAAGAGAGAGAGGAGAGAGGGTGTCAGAGGAGGGGGGAGAATGGACGTGAGTGGACTTCTGCATGGGGGGTTGCGTGCGGTCAGAGAGGAGAGAAGAGAGAGAGGGAGAGAAGGAGGAAAGGACAGATGTGATGATGGGGGAGAGAGGGGTGCGTGCGGGCAAAGGAGAGAGAGAAGAGAGAAAGAAAGAAAAAAGAAAAAGAGAGAGAGAGTAGGACGGACGCACGGCCAAGGGGGGTGTCTTCGGCGCAAGAGAGAATAAAAGAAAAAAATAATTTTCATTCAAATATTAATCGCGATCCGAAGGCCCAATCTCAAAATCGAAAACGATCTGCCGGTCTAAAATAAGCCTCGAATATAAAAAGGGACAAAGGCCAAATTAATTAAATCAAACTATAGCGAGGGAGGTCTACTAGTCCAAATTTGCACCTGGTCAAAAACTCCCCTTTTTCCATCATTCCTGACAATCTCAACGTTGGCTACCATAATATTGATACCGTCCAATTTATTTCGCCCCGACACTCCCGAAAATCGACTGCCAAGTCTGGGGTCTAAATAACGGCCAAATTCGATCGAGTGCAATTCTAGCAAAATCTCTATTTTAAAAAAAACAAGAACCCGAGAGTGATCAGTTCCCGGGCGAGATTCTATTATAAGTGCACTGACGAATTACATGTTTTATAAATCCCAAAAATGGGCCGAAATTCGGGATGTCACAGTTAGCATAGTCCAGCAACTATATGTGATTTAAATCCAAGAGTTGTCATTGTCATGAGGATCTTACCACATTGCTTTTCTTCAGATATATCCACCTCACCGCAATTTGGAAGAAAGGATACTCAGGTTTAAATGTGCTGGCCAGTTCGAGAGCTTTGCACAAACCCGTCTCTTTCAGCTTTACCTGCAGCAGTCGCAAACAGAACATGAAGAAAGCTTTAGCTCTCTAGGAATATACTATTCTTGTCATGTGAAACTCATACCTACCAACATAGCAACGCTAGATCAATAGATCTGAGTCTTTCTAATGGTCTAGCTTCCAAGGCCTATTTGCACACCAAATTCATTTTCAGCACAATCAAAATTGATATGACCGGTTTGGCTTGTTTCCATTGGCTTGACATTTATGAGTCCTCCAGCACATGCATACGCACACATGGGAGAGCTAGAGACAGAGAAACACCACGAGGAGGAATTAGCTCTAACACATTCACTCTTAGTCTAATGACATGGAGAGTTCCTGTACGAAATTCAAATCAAACACGAGAACAACACAATCAAGGGGAGAATTAGCTAGTAGATTAAGATACACACCTTGAAAATCTCATGATGAGCAGTTCGAACTTCCGTCTCTCCCCAAACCCTGTGCTGATGATTGTACACAATAACGGCCATGAACTTCGCAAACCTGATGAGATTACTTGCCTTACAAAGTTGAGGACACTTGGGTGAATGCAATTCACTTTCTGCGAGACAAATCCACAATTGTCGAGGCCTGGTTCCTCATATCAGCATTTGTTGGCAGATATTCTATCTCAGATGTGCAATAATCAATGATTACAAAGGAAATGGAGTGCCCTTCAGATTTGAAGACCAAAAATTGGCCCCCGCAGATAGAGTAATGCTCTACAAATTCATTCCAACCCTTTGATAGCCAAACCATTTCATCACGTTCTTCCAATTCCACAGGCCAAATAATTGCACCATCCTCTCAGAAGCAAGTTTTTGAGAGATTCTCACCATATTTTCTCACTAACCTCTTTGGTATTCCCTATGGGAAAATAAAACCCATAATCTTAATAAGCCTATGAGACTTGATTTCAAATTAAAAATGAAGAAGAACATAACAAGAATGCATAAACCAAAAAGGACATGTTGAAGCACATCCCTTTCGGTTCATTCAGATTTGGAATGTGGCATTAATGAGTGTGCATCTGGATTATTATCAACCTCATACAGCCAGTAGGCATAGAGGTACACTTCCTTGATTCATCAAGACTATAAAGGAGTTATTACTTGGAATACTGAATTCATTTTGGACCAGCCAGAGTGACAATTCCAGAGTTCATCCTGATCAATGTAAATCAAGTCCTAACCAGCACTATTGAATATGTAGACTCTGAACACAACATCCCTATCAATGAGTTTCTACATGCAGATGTGACTTTCTCTTGCAAATGTGGGCCAACCAGCAGAAAAGAAACCCACCTCCAAACATATCGCATCCATAGCTCCTTAGCTTCACCGTCCATGACCTGTCTAATTACCTAAGAGCCGCAATTTGCTTGATTTCCCGAATTTGTTGCGTGATGAATTGAACAGAAGCAGACTGCCCTTGTACATGGTCGAAAAACCAACATATGGTGAAAAACAGACCCAAACATAAATAAGCATACCCTAACGAGAGAATCAAATCACACGCAGCGTGAGTTTAAGGCATTACTTGCTAGTTTAAGGAGTTTTAATAGACAGTAAACCATATGATGAAAGTCATCAATCCAAGTCAAATGTCAAAATCTATGCTCCTAGAGTGCAATATGGCACACACTCAAAAGAAGCGATCCATGTCCTATATATATATATATATTTAAAACACATGAATTTCAGCCACACAGACTACAAGCGCAGGGGAAAAAGCAAATACGCCGATGACCGGAACATGGATGGAATCGAAAATTAAAGCTTAAGCTGTTCGATTCTTTCAGGCGTTGCTCAAATAAGGTTTTATCAAACTATTGGTTCAATTTGAAAAAGTAAAATTATCTCCTTGTTTTCCCCAAATCCGATTAATATAACAAAATGCAACAGCATCTCTTATTTGACAATAAAATTATCAGTCACTAGATCTACAATGAAATTTCAGAATCATAACAAGCCACCCCCCTTATCTTTTAGGCCTTTCTCTTTAGTTATACGGAGGCAGCAACATTTTTTGCAATCTGCTTGTCCATATCAACATATAGTCTCCTTGTGCGATTTACATATATATTCGACTTCTACGACATTGAATAGCATTGTCAAAGAGGGACGCCCAATGTCCATCACAAATGCTTTGAACACGATATCATCTCCATCGATGAGCTCCAACACGCAAGAAATCTCCTACGCAGACGTGTCTCTATCACAAATGCTTGCCAACCGGCAGAGAACGCCACATGCTCGTGCTTTTAGACTCAAATGTGGAACGAATTTGAAAGACACAACCCCTAGCTGAAGAAGACAACGATTGAGACCCGAAAATCGGAAGAAATTTTGGGAGACCGGAGAAATGATGGGGGAAGGGAGAAGCGTGAACTTACGAGCTTGCCGGATTCGAGTTCGTCCAGGCTCGGCGGTGCCATCTCCGGCGTCGCACTTTCGTCTTCTCTCCGGCGGCGACGACGACGAGAAACCCTGATCTTCTTCAGGAAATGGTGGGAGGGAGCGGCGCACTGTTGAGCTTTGTCGCGAGAAAAAAATCGTTTCTTTTTTGGGATAAACGTTTCAGTTCAGCACTGCTGGAGGAGGGGAGATCGATGGGGGTTGATGATGCTGATCACACGTGGCTGCCATTTTACTTTTCTCTCTCTCTCTCTCTCTCTCTCTCCATTTGCGCCACTTGCCCTCCCCTTCATCAGTGACAAGAAAGTTGAAAAGATAATAAAATGTAAAAACTTATGGTGCCGCAAAAATAATAATAAAATAATAATGATGATGACGGAGGAGAATGACATTAATTGGATCTTACTAATTTTATGTGCATTTGTCTATGCTGATAACTTTTGTATGGTCGCATTGAGATCACGCCTCTTCCAGTCCCCATCCCACTTGTATCTGAACAGTGTGGCCCAATACAGCTTTGGTGTGCTCAGCATACCCTTAGAAAATATTTTCATTTTCGGGCACTCTTCCACTTCAATCTCCCACAAGGATGGGAACTTGAAGCTGCAACTTGCGGCAGAGGAGAAGCATTCTAGGCTTGGCAGATTTTGGAGCGTCAAACTACTTAACTTCCCAAGAGAAATCACTTTTCCTTCTCCATTTTCATCGTTTGCCACTACTTCTTTCATTTTTTCACATCCTATTATAGTCATATCGGTGAGATGCACCAAATTTGTGACCGCTGAAGCTGTTATCAAATGTATCAACCCAGAGGAATTCTTCACCACTAACTCCCTCAAATTGTGAAAGGATGTCACGGCGGGAAATAATGTTGTCAAATAGGAACAATCCCAAACCTCAAATTTTTCGATACCTTGAAGAATTTTCGCCATTAAGTAGTCTTCTCTCCATAAACGTTTTAGGTTATGCAGCTTGGTTAACTTAAGTTCTCTTAGATTTTTAAGCACCGGATGATTTCCCTCGTCAACAAGCCCTTTGTCGGGGAATATATCTTCAAAGGAGCAACAAAAGATCTCAAGGCTTTGTAAATTCTGAAATCTCTCTAGGAGGAATCTGGAAGGAAAGATGGCACTTTCATCATGAAAGCATGCCAATGTTAACGCTTTTGGCTTGCCAAAGATATCATCGGGAAATTTTCCATCCCGTATCATTTGAACATCTTTATCGACTATTAAAAGTCTCTTTAAGTTGGGAAAGTCCTGTCAAATTGAATACAACGAGAGAAGTAAATTCAGCAAAGGTTGGGCCATAAATCATTTGTTGTAAGATGTAAACCTAATTCGATGATTCACATGGAAGGTGGTCATCTTCTTACATTTCATCAAATCAAAAGATCCCTACATACAATCTCAAGCTTTTAAAAGCCTCAAGTAGAGGTTGGCATGGTTATGTTGGTAGAGTGAATCTAAATTCAAGAGCCCTTCAACTGACCAAATTTATCTTTTATTAGAAATATCTTATCTTGTCAACAAAAATTTGTCATCTTTGGAATTTTATGTAATGGGATGCACTCAAAATGTTAGTAAAATGTTTTGGGTCCACAGACTTAAAAGTGTGCTTAAGATATAAGACATATCTTATGTTGTCTTCAAACTCATAGGTAAGGGGTTTCAGGTTTTCTATGGTACTATAATATGACGACTATGCAGTGGACAGGGGAATTAACGAAAACAATAGAAAATAGGGCATTAAGGTACTAATGTTATTTTTGTTTTGAAAAATTTGTTTGAATTGATTTTTTAGAGTTTGTAGAAGATTAATTAGAGAAGAAACACGTGTCAACAAAAATCTTTAAATATTTTTGTAATTCTAGGTAATGGAATATCTTATGGGTGTCCGCAAATGAAAAGTATACTTAAGATATTAATAATATCTTAATGTTGTCGACAAACTAATAAGCAAGGGAGATCATATTTTCTATAGCATTATAACATGACGTGAATATGCAGTGGATATAAGATTAGTGAGCAATTTAAAGAACAAAGTAGAAACTGAGGGAGAGCAGCTGTAAACATACCCTCTCAAATGAAGACTCTGCTTCTTGGTATGAAAGGTCCTGTTGATCATCTCTTTGAGCCCAATTGTTCATGGATGTTGCAAAGGACAACGTGTTTAGTTTGTCACAGTGCGTCACTCGCAATTCCTCCATGAATGGCCAATTCAAAGTGGGGAAATTAGGGCAAAAGCTCTTGAGCCGTGACATATCGTGCAACACTAGAGAGGTTAGTATCGGGAAAAGAACTTGAGCAATATTGGAGTGTGGAGTGTCATCTCCACTAGCGACTATTTCCTCGATCCCACAACACTCCACTCGAAGTTTCTTAAGTTGGGTAAGACTTGTAGCCACCCAATGCGGAAACAAATTTTCAAGGCTCTTACAATTTTGAACCTCCACTTCCCCTAAATAGTCAAAAGTGAGAGTTTCTTGAGGACCGTTGGTCCATATTTTGCTTAAATTGTCCATGTGGGAGAGAACCATCGACTTAAGTTGAGGAAATTGTACCTGCCATATTGAAAAAAATGACACAATGAATGTGATTACATCGAGTTATAACCTCAAAGAAGGAATTTTCAAAACTTCCCTCGCTCTCACAAATCATGAGAATGCAAGAGCTTCTTAGTGATATAAACAGGGAGGGGCTAATTGATACTTTCATTTCATTCAGTTGATTGATGAATAAGGCCAAGTATGTTGCATTGCAACAAGCATGAAATGATAAATGCATTTATAATCAATAGTACATTGAGCATTAGCTTTTAAGTGGCTTGATTGACATTTAATACTAGCAACGCCTTATTAGTTATCCCTTTAATTCTCGGAAAGTTGTCATGATGACTTCTCAGATTCTCGAACTTTCATGTTTGCTGATCACAAATAGAAGAAGGCCATTTTACTTGAGTGCTTAGGTGAATATTAAGAAATAGAAAGGTGCTTGCACGGATCATTATCAAAGTTTAGAGCACTCCTAGATGAACATCCAATTTGTCAGATTTGTTTGCAGTGGTCATTATTAAAGTTGCTTGAACTGATCTTTTGATAATGCAACATTAGATAAGGTGAGAATCTATTAGATTTATTTGCTTCAAGGTGAACATGCATCACAAATGGAGAAAAAGCAAGGGCATGGTGATGACGAGCCATGAATAACGTGTGCAGAGAGTTTAAGCAGCATATATACTGATGAAGGAATGAATGAAACCGAAGCATGGCTCCACATTATTTCCTCCATTTACTATCAGCACGTTACTTATTCAACACTAATACTAATTGCAAACATTACTTACAAATCTTCTAATGAGTAAGTTCACTAATGAGAAGTGTTATGAAAAATTGATGGCAAACAAGAGTAAAAAAGAAAACCAACTTCAATTGTTTACCAGTTTTTTCTTCATTATGTACAGTATTTTTTGTATTGAAAGAAAATAAATTCGTAACAGGCACGGACAACGTAATGACTTCAATAAATAATGTACGTTAAGATCTCAGGAAAAGCAAATAGGGTCAAATTTACTAGTTCTACGTTGGACAATTAATGACTTGCTTGAAATAATATTTATTAACTTTTGAGGTGGAAAAGTGAAAACAGAATCTTGCGGTGGGCCAGTGATCCAACCGCTGGCAAAAAGTGTGTAATAGGTAACCAATTTGCGTGGAGGCAAAACCAGAAGAAGGAAAAAAAAACGAAAGTGGATGACCATATTATGCTTGTTTGGAGAAAACCAACTGTGCTTTTTTAACCGTTTTATGGCCTCGACGAAATGTCCATTGAGAAGCAAGTATTGATATTATTCACTTGGTTACAATAATATTAACGCAGTTACGATTTGTCATAACCAAAAAAACATAATGCCTTTCTACACTTCCCTAAATCTATTAATGTTCTTAATTGAGGATTTTGATGAGTTTTTGAAACTAGCTAACCATGTGGGAGATGTCTATTATTACATGATGGCTCATATTTGACACAAAAACGAAATTAACGCTGTCACAACTTGTCACGACCAAAAAATTAGACAACTATTTTCATACTTTCCCAAATTCATTAGTATTCTTGATTGAGTGTGATGGTGCCTTATTGAAATATCCTCAGAATGTGGGGATGCCTATTATTGCATGGCAGCTCATACATATAGATGACATTAGAAGTAAATAAATAATTAGTGACAACTGTTACCAATAAGAAGAAAAAATGTGTGAACATTCTACTTGCAAGTAACAATAGAAAAAATTGTGCAAAAGCATTAGAATAACAAAAACACACAAGCATTTTCAGAAGAGAAAGCAATAATCGAAATTTGTAAGGAATCTATAACGAAAAAGTCCAAAAAGCCGGGGGGAGGGGGCAGCTCACTTGATCAATTGGTTTGTGTTATTTGCCTTTTTAAGAAGTGTTGTAAACTAAAATAAATTTGGTAAAGATATAAGCTTGTAATTCACTTAATCAATCAAAATGAATTTGAAAATTGATTTTTATTCTTCAAAAAATTAGACAATGGTGGGTACTTGTATATTCCTTATTATTCTACTTTGATAATAACCTCTCCTCAATTCTGTCGAATGGATAAATTAATCATAGGATTTTAAAATTGTATTTGTTTGTATTTTATAAAAAAAATTATCATACAATATATTTAACAAGTGTCTCGATTAACGATCCTTATTAACAACTTAGGTTAATATCAGGCATTTCAGGTGCTTGAGAGGGGTCGTCATTTACTGCGTTTAGTATTCGTGAGACGGAATGGTAGTGTTGATTGGATAATTTATTCCTTTTTTTTTTATGTAGCTAGGACATTGACCAAATATTGTTACCTAGTTATGAAGTATGACTTGCAATGTCGGCAACCGCCCACTGAATGTCTACTAAATATTATCCAGCTGTCATTTTCTCTCTTTTATTTTTTCCTTTTTACTTTTCCAGAAAAAGTAATCTACCTTTTCTCTTCCCAAACATAGATTGTCCGCATTGTCACACTAACTATCACTAAATACAATAATCCAGAATTAATAATTATTGTAAAACACAGCTTCGTAATCCGATAGGCTGTTCGAGTACAGTGATTCAAGTATGATTTACGAACGAAGAAGACAAACCGCTTCATGCATATCGACCTTTTTTATTTTTATTTATTTTATTTATCAAGACCCGGTCAAGCATGGGTGAATATTAAGAAATAAAAAGTTGATTGCATTGATCATTATCGAAGTATAGAGCACTCCAATTAAAAAGAGCCACTCTCTCTAATTCCTCCAATTTCATCGCTTGGGAAGATGATTATGGTACAATGAGCAGTAATAGCTAAGCAATTTGTGAAACTGGGTTTTTCCAGTTATGAAGCTTTCTTTTCCCCCTTTCTTCATGTTCCATAGAACGACGCGAGTTTGCTTCTGCGCAAGAAAATAAGAAGTGGCAATACGGACATCTTTTTTTGCCATTTTTAGATGCTATTCTATGTTCAATGCTTCATAGTTCAAATTGTAAAACGTAAATGTTTTTATGTGGTTATTGTGATAACTTTTTAAGAACCTTGTTAATTAATTCTAGAGTATTGCGCATGATATGATTTTATGAGCCGACACAAGACTAACACTTCTAAAAAGATATGGAGATGTACAATTAATAGTTATATTTGCTGAGGATCAGAGAATTGTTGATCTCTGTACTAAAGATTTAAAGATTATGTACATAAATCCGTAGAAAGCACGGGAATGCTGCTAGTTATTATACATTTACCTATAATTAGATGATTTTGAATCCGTAGATATGTACCAATGTCTGAATTGTTTTGCATTAAAAATTTACTGATGTGATCATGGACTCCTGTGGGGAGGTAAATATTCTATACATCTTTGTTCAGGTATGAAACACGAGTCCCAACTAAATTCGAGCAAAGCATCGATGACTGATATTACGAACATTTATATCTAGCGTTTTTGTCCAATTCTACGAGAATATGTTACATATGAAATGCCAAAAATGCATTAGCTTGAAAAAACTGACCTGTGGAGTGAAAAGCGAAGGGGTGCTGTGGTCAATCTCCATCAAAGATTGCCAAGTCAAACTTCTCATCTTGGGGCAATGGGCAATGGTCAACTCTTCCAATTGGGGACATTCCAGCGTATGATTCTTTCCCAAGAGGAAACTAGTCAAATTGGGCAAGCATTCCAGCGTCAAGTATTCCAAATTCGGGAATGTAACCTTCTCCACCGCGCTTCCCTGCCCTTCTTCGTCTGTGATCACTCCTTCCATCTGACCACACTCCTTTATTTCAATTTTCGTTAGATGGGCAAGGCACCAAGCCATCGATGGAGTGAAAGCATGTCCCAAGTTGCTGCAATTATAAAGAATGAGAATATCTAGAGAATTGAAGCGCAACGATTCTTGAAGATCTTTGTTCCATAGTCGCCTCAACTTTGGTAGATTAACCAAGTTCAATTCACATAGCCAAGGCAGCACCCGAGTGCTTTCCACAGCCTCTAGCCCTTCTAAATCGAGTATTTCTTCTAGCGACTCGCAATCGCGCACTTGCAATGTACACAAATTGTCTAAAACAAGCATCAATTTGGATGGAATTGCTTTAATAAATGATGGACATTTATCCACCACCAGTGATTCTAATTGCCAAGACGACTCGATGGGATTAAGTTCGCTATGCCATTTTCCAATCAGATCGTCGAGCTCAGATAGTAGCATTTTCTTTACTCCAGCAAACATACCCTGTCAAAAATTGTATCATTAAACATAAACTTATAGTTAGCAAAAAGCAATTATTCTATTCATGGTCAAAACCATCCAATTGCACAGAATTTGGTGAGTGATGCGTACCATTTCTTCAAACATATTTTGGATGGTGATGTTGAGGTCTTCCTTCCAAAACCACGCTTTTGTTGATACTTTTACTCTCTCTAACTTCGACGCCTTTATTGGTCCCTCAGAGAAAAACTCCATGTTAGGACATCTAGTCACAATGACATCTTCCAGAAGAGGGAACATCAAAGTGTATCCACCTGAGCCAAAGCATCTCAACCTTATCAACCCATCAAGCTCCATACACTCTAAATGATTGAAAGCCACTACATGCCCCTCCTTACTTCCCTCATCACTAATGACTTCTGTCAACGTTTTACAATTACTTATCCTCAATTTTGTGAGTGCCACCAAATTTCCAGCTATTGTTGGTGTGAACATACTTGATAATCCATCGCAATGCGACACATTTAGAGTCTTCAGATGTTGAATATATCTTGAAAAGGGTAATATTACTTTTAGCTCCTGACTTGGGCCTTCTATGGCTTCCACATTGCTGGTTGGCTCTTCAAGATAAGATTCACGTACAACTAGCTCTTCCAAGTTGGTTAAACTCTCAACGAAATGACATGTGGATATTGCACATTCGTTTGAGAGATGACGAATCTCAAGAACTCTAAGCTTGCAGAAGAATTCTTCATCATGAAAATGCCCGTGCCATATCTCCATCTGTTCGGATAAATCCAATTTTAACTCTCGAAGATTAGGGAATGCGCCCTGAGAAAATAGTCAAATCAGAACCTAAAGCCAGCTTAGTTAAAAGCGTATTCATGTATTATGATACAAGTCCTGCATAACGTGCACAATAACTGCATTTTAAAATGTTGACTCTCATGTGATTCGACGGAAAGAAATGTGCCCTCACGAAACAAACATTATCTTTGATCTTTTATATTTGACTTGTATCCATATTTGAAGTAACTCCTTACATTCACATTTCTAAAGATATATCCCTTGTGAAAATAACTTCTGCATCAATTATAGTCAAAATCGCACAAATTTCAGCTATTAATGTCAATGATAATGTCCCATCTTTCCGTTTTTAGCATAATATCAGTAATCTTGATAGGGTTCACATAAGACAACACACTTGTGCCATGGTAAGATCACACCACATGCCACATGTTTTCAATCTTTGTGGTACTTAAGAGAGATCTAAACCATCGGAATTAGCCTTTTTTTTAAAGGGATCAACAAGTATGCATTTGGTACGTCAGACATTGACAAGAATGTACAGTTAATACTTGAAGAACATATGATGTTTCAATGTTGTAATATTTTTATAGATTCAAGGAGAGTCGTACAGTTTACATCTTCGTATGTAGAGCTACTCATATGAGATGCTTGGCTATGACATCAATCATCACTTCAAATATTCAACATTGAAGCAAAACAAATAATCTTGGGTCGTACCTTTTCTATCAAGAAGAGAGGGTGTTTATGAAGTGGCATCTCATTCTCAGGTTGCGAAGCAAGTATCTCCACTTTGTTACAGCCATGGACCTCCAAGGTCTTCAATGCTGGCCAATGTAAGGCATGTGTTCCGGTGTAGATGCGCTTCAACTCTGTCAAATGCTTAAGCTCGAGGGAGGTTAACATTGGGAAATCAAACCTGGGAAATAGCCCTTCCTTCTCAATGAGTTCCACAATGCCACATTCAGCGATTTCCAACTCCTCGAGTTGGATTAGATCTTTGGTTATTGAGGCTGGAAACAAAGAGGTGAGGCTCTTGCATTTGGAAACGCTAACAAAGTGCAGAATCTGGAAGTTAACTTGATGGTGGAGTTTCTTATCCCATACACACTTCAGCTTTGGTAATCTTGATATTGTTAGCTCTTTTAACGGAAGAGCAACTGGATGTCCTCCATCTAGAGGATTCGCTGGTTGAAGTTCGAAAACAACTTCAAGCGAACCACATGCTTCTACACTCAAACTTTCCAGGCACAAGAGCCATCCTAGAATGGAACAAGGAACAACGGTCACAAGTTTATTGCATTCATCCACAAACAGCCATTTTAGCTTGGAGAAAGAATCCGCAGCAACTTGATTGTCCCATATCATCTCGATGTTATCCATGCCACCGATATATAAGGTCTCCAAGCTAGGAAAAGCAACCTGCGAGTATTCGCTCACGAAATTGGTGATTAAGTTAAATTTCGAAGTCATAAACTTCCACGATGTAAATATAGATGAATGCCAAGATGTAAATTAATAATTCATGGAATTGGTGATTCTGTCTTAAGTTGCACAAAAGGAAAAAAAGAATAAAATTAGAAAAGTTAGTAAAAATATCTCCATACTAATGTCCATGACTCTAGGACAAGAAGGCTATTGGAATTACTGGAGACAAATCAAAAAGTAGGAATTCTGTTCTGACCAGATTCTATTGTCAGTGGACAAAATAGTAATTTGGATATGCTCATATAACAGTCATATAATCCCTTTAGTGTCCCGTAGATCCCACATTTAAATAAAATCTCTCCCTGTCTTCAATTTAGTTACTTCCCTAAAATAACGAATTAGCTAGTATACGTAGCAGTAGTTAAATCACTTAGAGACGAGGAAGAATTTATTTAAAGGAACAAGAACCACGTGACAAGGGTAATTAACTTTAGAACTTAGAAGTCACTGAATTGATGTAGTAAAAGAAAAATGCAGCTGTGGATAGCTTGAGGAAGAATATTAGGAATCAGAATGAAAATGATGGAGAGATTGAGATTAAAAAGGCAATTCATCATCCATCAAATGATGCAATACAGTAGGAGGTGTGATATTATCTAATACCGAATGCCACAAATCAATATTATATCACTCTAGAGCAATTAAAAAGATAGGCTAAGAGAAAGCAATTAAAAAAGGAATCGCTTGGGTCAAACGAACAAATCTCACTTGCATCTTTCCCCACTTGAAAGAACTAAATATGCTTAATCGATTGAATTTTCCTTTTAAAATGCATTGATCTTTTACCAGTGCTGGAGGATCCAACAGTTAGATACCAATGACAGATCGTACATATAATTCAGTCAAATAGTTGAAGATTTTCCTAAATATCTCATTATAGAAGAATAAATTTATCTGAGAAGTTCGACTTATTAATCCTATGGAAGGGCCCATTTTTATAGCCTATTTGGCTGTATAAACAACATTTTAGGTGAACGACCTATATTGCTTTTAGTTTAGTCAAAGTGGACCCGCCTATACATTATTCTATTTCATTTTCAACTGAAACGTTCTGCCGCTATCCACTCGACAATTCAGATGACTCAACTGAAATGGCTGATTTGCGAAATGTACTTTATTTCTATAACAAGAGTTTCATAAGAATGATCTTGCAGTTCATGTAAAAACTAAAAGGGGTGATTTTTGAAGCCCTAGACCCTAGAGATATTGCTCAGTTTGGCGATGGAGAGGGCTCAGATTCCTTTTGCTAGTGCAATTACAAGAGAGAGTAAAGCTTCCCGATCAGGAGAATAAATGAGATCTTGCAAGTGCAAATGAAGCCAAGTGAGCATCTCAAAGGTCCTTCATCTCCAGCCTCTTGAACCTTACTGCTCACTTTCCTCCCAATTGTTTTTTCAATTGTTTTCAATATACATGCATGCAATGTCTAAGCCGTACATGTGATGCTGGTGAGAGCTTTAAGTTTCTTGTGAATATCGGAAGCTTTTAGAGATCCTGTTCGGCACTTGAATTACCCATTCATGCTTTGTGCAGGTACCATAAGAGATGTTCAACTATCTTTGTGAAAACTATTTCCAGAGAAATTAAAAGTAAGAAATTGCAACCCATACATGTTGGCAACTCTGAACACTTAATGCCTGTACGCTACTCATTTTCTTTTAAAATATTTTGGCTATGCTTAGTCCCCTGCATATTTAATACTTTTGTTATATTTACGTTGATCATGTACCTCTTGACTAAAGAGTGCAATGGAGCATGATTTGACACGGTCCTGACTCTGAACTTCTTGTGAACCTGTCATTGGTTTTCATTGGATGAAAAGAATGTCACCATTTGCATTGCAAGGATAAATCTATCTACAAGAAGATCTTCAGCGATGAAAAAAAAATCAATCTTACGCTTTCCGCGATAGAAGCACATCAACCTTCCCAAACGTTGTACGTTTAAGTTGGCTAACATTGGGAATGCTAGAGCTTCTGATGTTTCCAATCCCAACCCTTCTTCCTCCATAATGATCGCCTCCATCTTCTTGCAATCTCGTACCGTTAGATCTCTCAATTGTACAAGAGATTTAACCATGGATGGGAAAAACATAAACCTAAGGTTGGGACAGTCATACGCCTCCAACTCCTTTAAATTATGGAAACTCACTGTTCCATAAGGATTCTTGTTCCATATGCGCCTCAAGCTCCCCAATCCCCTTAAAGAGAAGGTGGTTACCTCAGAGAGAGTCTCAACATTTCCATTAGCGCTTGAACCGTCAAGGTCAAAAATTTCTTGCACCGAATGGCAATTTGATATGCTTAAAGTGTGTAACTTGTGTAGTTTTACTAGCGACTCAACGCTGATAACCTTCGAGAAAGATTTGCATTGCACCACTATGAGAGACCGGAGATTGCTCAGCCCCAATAGAGATTCATTGCTCCATATTTCTTTTAGATTGGGAAGTCCTTCCATTGTCAAAGACTCCAAGGATGGGATTGAAATCTGACGGACAAACCCATCAACAATAGCATTTACAATTACAAAGGACAGTCGGGAAATTTACGCGATATAGCAGATGTCATAAATGGTTGCCAAAGAAATTTACAAGCAAGATAATGTACAACCTTTAGGATAATTTTTGCATGTATGAAAATCTATGATAAACAAAAGCTAATTTACTACCCCAAAAGACAACTAATGAACTTTACCTTTTATTTACGACATAACAAGGGATGTTATTACGATTAAATTTTGTTTGAATTTTACTAGCACTATCAGGAATAGCAATCATCGAGAATTAGAACTTAATCCGGTTACTAATGACAATCAAATTATGCATGAAATATCTATCTAATTATCAAATTATATCGATTAGATGGAGATATATACAGCTTTATGTCCCATTAGTCTTGGCGAGATCGGGCCTTCTATATATTATCTTGTTACAGAGTCCAACTCAAAAATTAAACATTGGGCAAATGTTGGTAATATGAATAAGACTTATGGTCATAGGGAGTTGATAGCTGGACATGACATTATTCCTCGTCCAGTTGGGTCAAGAGGACTTGTCACACACCAAAATTGTCTACTTCCTGATAAAATCCGACAAAACGGGCATTTCTTTGTCTTTTCCTTCTTAGATGTCTTCAAATTCTCCGAATTTATTAGGCAAAATGGAACTAATTTCCCCGCAAAATAACATGAAATTGGACACATCAGCAATTGGGATATCACAACAACTAAGTAGTCACTAGTCATCGTCACCGGTTGAGATCCCAACTTTTCCCGAAAAATAGTAAATTACTTGAGATTGACTTGAGTTTTTTTTCCTTATCCTTCATAAATTACCTCGAGTGTTCCTTTAAATTCAGAGGCATATGTAGCCTATCCCAATTAATCGTCATTGTTGTCATAATTTCTTTAAGGGTGAGTCTAAATCCACGGTCAACATGTCCGAAACCATAACATTTGAGGTGAAGGGATCCAATTGTCCCTTATGACAATGGAAAGCTTTATTTTCTTTTTCTTCTTCTTTTTTTGTTTAAAAGAGTAACTAGTCTTTCCTAAAAGTTCATTGCTATACCTCTAGAAAAGGCCTTCATCTGCCAAGTTGCTCGCAATCTCCCATCTATCTTGCCATCACCCCTCGCTCCCACCTATGCAACAAGTACTGGCTTTTTTGTTTTTCATTCATTAGACTATTGTCATCCCCAACTAGCCAACCTTAGACTACTACTTTGGTTGGCTGCCACCGCTTTATAACGTCGGAGGAGATTTATTACAGTTTTAAGAAACATTTCTTTATAAACCCCTGGATCTTTGCATATATAGGTTTTACACAAAAACTAATAATAATAAAAATACTAAGGCTAGAGTAATTCTTTAATGAAGATTTAGAATCCTAGAAAGTTACAAGCCCAAAGACGATGGCAACAAAAAAAAAAAAAAAGCAAAGCCTCGAAGGCTCTTCGCAAAATTTCCCAATCTAGTTCCACTATCTTTGAAAGCAAACTCTCTCCATGGAAGCTCAAAGCATGGGCTGAAGAAAAGTTGTACTCAGGCACACAACCTTGTGGGATCCATAACTTATATTTCCACGACTCTTTATTGACGGGGAAACTAACGTATTGCATATAAAAGAGTAATATTGTCTAGTCAAATAAAATCCTCTACTTGCAGCAGTTTTCCCCCATATAAAATATAGCCGTGAGCATTCCTTTATTGGGCAATTGTTTATCCTTAGTTTACTAATTCTCTTTCATGTTAGTAAATTACTATCAATGACCAATTTAACAAGGTGGAAATTTTTTGTTTTAAATCCAATGGCTGATGTTAGATACAGGATTGGTCCCGTAGAAGTGTAGATCGGGCCATAAAATTGATCTACAACGGCGTAACATCATTTTCATGGATAACAACAAATAACAAAGCATTTTTCACCTGTTATTGCTCCCTTTTTTGAACTTGAATGATTTGTCATCTTCTTTAAACTCGGTGTAAAGATTAAACCAAAAGGATCTCCTATTGAATGTTATCACTAAAGCTACTTAGACAGTTAACTACGTTTGCACCTACTAGTCTAGAATTGAATATACTATAAATAATCGCCCTCAATTTCAATTGAATGCCATTAATTGTTGTTGTGATGATCTAGTTTATCAACTTTGTATTCAAAAGTTTTCCAATTACATTGTGCTTGAGACTCTTCTCTAAGTCGGATTTCGAGGTGACAAAGGTTTATTATACAAAATGATTAATTATTCACATTATGAATGTTACGATCTATTGTATCTTGATTGCCATTTCATACACTATAGTCTCGACTGCATCTTGACATGATGCTTCTAACTATGGGTTGAGATTTCGCTAAGGGCTCCAAGCATTCGCCTGAAAATTGTTTCATTTTAGTCTTTCATAGAATTGGTGATTCTATTAAATTACGAATTCATGAACTTCCAAGATGCAAATATTGATGAGTGCCAAAATGTAAATTATGAATTCAAGGAATTGGTGTTTTTGTCTTCAGTTGCAGAAAAGGAAAAAAAAGAATAAAATAGGAAAATTTAGTAAATAAAATCTCCATATTTATGTCGATGACTCTAGGACGAGAAGGCTATTGGAATTACTAGAGACAAAATAAAAAGTAGGAATTCTGACTTGATTCTGTTGACAATGGGCAAAATGGTAATTTGGATATGCTCAAATAACAATCCTATAATCACATTAGTCTCTCATTAATTCCAAACGTAAATAAAATCTCTCCCTCTCTTCAATTTAGTTAATTTCCTAAAATAATCAAGTCATACTTTGTGCTTTTTTTGCTAGCCCAAGAATCAAATAGCTAGTAAATTGATGAAGAAAAGTGCAGCTAAGAGAAAGAAATTGACGGTGAGATTGAGATTAAAGAGAGGCAACCCAATCAACCATCAAATGGTCCACTACAGAAGGTGTGCTTTTATCTACTACCGAGGGCCTCAAATCAATATTATATCACTCTAAAGCAATTAAAAATTTAGGCTAAAAGAAAGCACTTAAAAAGGGAATTGCCTGGGTCAAACGAACAATTCTTATTTACATCATTCCACACTTGAAAGAATTGAATATACTTAAATTAATGAAATTTTCTTTTGAAGATTCGTTAATTTTTTTGTAAGAGTGTCGGATGACCCAATTTTTTTTATCCAAAAACCATATATCATATATTTACTCAAGCCAAATTGTCGAAGATAGTCCTCAATATCTCATTAAAGAGTCTAGCAATTCATGTAAAAACTAAAAAGGGTGATTTCCAAAGCCCTGGACACAAGAGATGTTGCTCAGCTTGGCGATGGAGAGGGCTCAGATTCCTTTTGCTGGTGCAATTAAGAGAGAGTAAAGCTCCCTTCGATCAAGAAAAAAAAGTGAGATCTTGTTAGTGCAAATTAAGTCAAGTGAGCGTCTTAAAGACCCTTCATCTCCAGCCTCTTGAACCTTACTGCTCACTTTCCTCTCAATTGTTTTTTTTCATTCTCTTTCAATCTACATGCGTGCAATGTCTTGAGCCGTACATGTGAGGTTGCCGAGAGTTTTAAGTTTCTTGTGAAAATTGGAAAGCTTTTAGAAATCCTGTTCCGAAGTTGTATTGCCCGTTCATGCTTCATGCCGGTACCATAAGAGATGTTCAACCATCTTTTATGGAAACTATTTCCAGAGAAATTAAAAGTAAAAAATTGCAACTTGTGCATGTAGGCAACTCTGAACACTTTTCTTTTAAGATATTTCATCCAAAGTATACTTCGTAAGTGATTTAGTTAGTTTTTATTTTGGCTATGTTTAATATTTTGACGCAATGTTAATCGCGTACCTCTCGTTTGAAGAGTGCAGTGGAGCGTGATTTGATGCGGTTCTGACTCTGAGCTTCTCGATAACCTGTCATCGATTTTTCATTGAATTAAAAAAATGTCACCATTTATATTGCAGGGATGAATCTGTCTACAATAAGAACTTAATTGATGAAAACAAAAAATAATCTCACACTTTACGCGAGAGAAGCACGTCAAACTTTCCAAATATGTTAAGGATAAATCAGTTAACATCGGGAATGCCAGAGTTCCTGATGTTTCCATTCCCAACCCTTCTTCCTCCGTAATGATTGCCTCCATCTTCTTGCAATGCCCTACTGTTATTTTTTTTAGTTGTGCAAGAGATTCAACCATGGCTGGGGAAAACATAAACCCGAGGTTACCCAAGCCAGTGATTTCTAATGTCTCCAATCTCGGTAAGGCAACCTGCGGAATTCGCCCACGGAATTGGTAATTCTGTTAAATCTCAAATCCATGAACTTCCAAGATGTAAATACATATGAGTGTGAAGGGGAGAGGGGGATTATTAAGTTGCACAAAAGGAAAAAAAAAAAGGAAGTAAAAAAAATCTCCATACTAAATACCGTTTCTAGTTTCCAAGAGTATTTCATAGAATTACAGAAAGTTATCTAAAGCAACAACTAAAAAAAAGGATAAGGAATCTTTCTCCGGTCTTTTCTTGGGCAAATAACTTTGAATTAGCAGAGCTTATTTTGATTAGTGAACCAATTTTATTCAATCTGAAGATTTTCTCCTTCAGAAATGGGCTAGCGAGTGGTGCATTACTTATCTCTCTCTGTATATAATAAAGCAAAACCAACAATACTTTTCGACCTTAACTTTTGACCCCAAAAGTTCAAATAATATGCAAGGCCTCTGTCTAAGGAGAACCGCAGCAAAAGTTTAAAAAGCCCCAAAGACTGGGAAGAGGTGCAGACGTACTCAAACTCACTACCTCGTGGGACCCACAACTTATGGTCCACGATCCCTTGACTGACGGGGAAACTAAGATATGGCATGCGTCTTGGGCCCCACCCTGAACTTTAGTGACAATCGCGTCATTGTAGAAGGGCAATTTTGTCAGGTCAACGAAATAGCTGCGGCAATTTTTGCTGGACAAAATAGCCGTGCGCTTTCCATGACTAGTCAATTTTGGTTCATGCTTTGTGCAGGTACCATAAGAGATGTTCAATCATCTCTGTGCAAACTATTTCTAGAGAAATTAAAAGTAAGAAATTGCAACTCGTGCATGTCGGCAACTCTGAACACTAATGCCTTGTACACCGCTCAATTTCTTTTAAAGTTTTTTAACCAAAGTATGCTCTCTAAGTAATTTGGTTAGTTTTTTTTTATTTTGGCTATGCTTTATCTCCGTTATATTTAATATTTTGACATTTCACGTACCTCTCGATCGAAGAGTACAGTAGAGCGTGATTGGACGCGATCCTGACTCCGAGCTTCTTGTGAACCTGTCATCAGTTTGTCATTGGATGAAAAGAATGTCACAATTTGTATTGCAAGGATGATTTCTATCTACACAATAGTCTTCACCGATGAAAACAAAATTAATCTTACACTTTCCGCGAGAGAAACACGTCAGACTTTTCAACCTTGTTAAGCATAAATTGGTTAACATCGTGAATGCCAAAGTTTCTAATATTTCCATTCCAAACCCTTCTTCCTCCGTGATGATCACCTCCATATTATCGCAATCTCGTACTGTTAGATCTCTCAATTGTGTGAGACTTTTAACCATGGATGGGAAAAATATAAACTCGAGGTTGTCACAGTGATCCACCTCTAACTTCTTTAAATCATGGAAAGTCACTATTCCACAAGGATTCTTGTTCCATATGCGCCTCAGGTCGCGCAATCCCCGTAAAGAGATGGTGGTTAGCTCAGAGAGAGTCTCAAGATTTCCACTACCACTTGGTCCATCAAGGTCAAAAATTTCTTGTATCAAAACGCAATCTTCGATAGTTAAAGTGTGTAACTTGTGTAGTTTTAACAACGACGTGGAGTTCATAACTTTCAAGAGAGATTCGCACCCCACCAATTCGAGAGATTGGAGATTGCTCAACTCCAATGGAGATTCATCGCTCCATATCTCTTTAAGATTGGGAAGTCCTTCCATCGTCAAGGAATCCAAGGATGGGAGTGAAACCTAACACAGAGACCCATCAACAATAGAATTTACAATTACAAAGGACGTGCAGGAAATATAATTTACAACAAGCTTCACTTTTTTGTGTTTCGCTCATAAGACTATTGTCATCCCCGACAAGCCAACCATAGACTACTACTTTGGTTGGCTGCCACCACTTTATAATGTCGGAGGAGATTTATTAGAGTTTTAAGAAACATTTCATTAAAAACCCATGGATCTTTGCATATATAGGTTTTACACAAAAAATAATAATAATAAAATGTACTGAGGCAAGAGTAATTCTTTAATGAAGATTTAGAATCCTAGAAAGTTAAAAGCCCCAAACACCACGGCGAAAAAAATAAAGCAAAGCCACAAACGCTCTTTACAAAATTTCCCCATCTAGTTCCCCATTATCTTCGAAAGCAAGCTCTCTCCATGGAAGCTCAAAGCACGGGTTGAAGAAAGGTCATACTCAGGGATCCACAACTTATATTTCCACCACTCTTTATTGACGGGGAAACTAACGTATTGCATATAAAAGAGTAATATTGTCTTGTCAAATTAAACGCTCTACTTGCAGCAGTTTTCCCCTATATAAAATATAGCTGGGAGCTTTCCATAATTGGGCAATTGTTTATCCTTAGTTTACTCATTCTCTTTCATGTTAGTAAATTACTATCAATGACCAATTTAACAAGTGGGAATTTTTTGTTTTAAATCCAATGGCTGATGTTGGATACAAGACTGGTCCCGTAGAAGTGCAGATAGGGCCATAAAATTGATCTACAATGGCGTAACATCATTTTCATTGATAATAACAAATAAAAAAGCATTTTTCACCTGTAATTGCTCCCCTTTTTGAACTTGAATGATTTGTCATCTTCTTTAAACTTGGTGTAAGGAATATACCAAAAGGATCTCCTATTAAATGTTATCACCACTACGTTTCCACCTACTAGCCTTGAATTGGATATGCTATAAATAATCGCCCTTAATTTCAATTGAATGCCATTAATTGTTGTTGTGGTGATCTAATTTATCAATTTTGTATTCAAAAGTTTTTCAATTACATAGATAAGTTTAAAACATGAAAGTCCAACTCCACGCGAGTCTGTATGGGTTTTGTAACATACTCGTATTCAACCCATTTTGATTACTAGCTCAAGCCCAAAATGTAATTACGTGAAAAAAATCATTAAAATTGGAAAAAAATGGCATTATTCCGTTGAAATAATCCATGTCACACCTCGGCATTGCATGTAGGACTGTCGGTGACGACTGAACTGCAATGTCGAATAAATCAAGTTTGACTTGACCGAAATGACTAGATTATATTTTCCAGCAAAGTTTTATGATTATATTGATTCAATTAAAAATGATTTAGAACTTAATTAATTTTCATATAATAAGTTTAAGGCTAATTGTGCAATTATGCCAAGGATTTATCTAGTTAGTAGTGCATAATATTAGTTGATGTGGAGCCTAGATGGCCACGATTTTTTTGGAGAGCATATAAAATCCAATTATTGGAACATGGAGAAATCCTTTCAAGTTATCTAGAGTGCTACGTGTCAACCTTAAAGGCAGCCCTTTGGGTAGAGGCAATAATTACATAATTTTATAGAGAGATTCTCCCATTGATTTTATATGGGAGGTTAGTGCATAAATTTTTATCGAAGAGTTTAATTTCTCAAAAAGAAAATTTACACCCGGCATAATCAAATTCCAAGGACTTTCCACCCAGAGAGATACCGCAGGTGAAAACAGAAAAAAAAAAAAAAAAAAAAGGCAAAGTAATAGTAACCGTAAGCTAAAAATGTGAATTGTGGGAAGCTAACCATAACAGAATAGGTACATTAACATTTAGTCCTTTTTGTTCTCTTAAGGAAGTATTCGTAGGGACAAATTTGGGAACAGCACTGACAAAGTATCACATATGAAATTTAATTTTCTCATAGCATTAAAAAATATTACAAGGAATCCTTACCAATAATTTTTTAACATATTGATAAGATTGCACATTACTCTTGATAAAAACTACTTGTACTTGGTAAATGTATCTATTATAGGGTAAATGATTTTCATATATGGCGAAATATTCAATATGTCGTAAAAACACTCGTTAATAGCAAAAACATGTTAATTTTTAGTTATGTTTCCTCTTCATCAGTGTAATATCAACAAAAATCATTCAACTGAATCAAATGATGGTTAACCAAAAGAAAAGCCAAAAACAAGATTAATAAAATACATCAACTTAGAATAAAAACACATTTTGGGCAGTTTTAATTGTCAAACAAGCCAATGAAGGTAGGTTGTGGTTAAATTCCATTTCTCTACAATTAAAATTCAAAAGAAGAATACTATTGAAATCCAAAAAAATTTAGTGAAGCGTATGCCAGCTGGGGCGCGTACGATAGCTATGGCCTTTGTTGTCAGAAATCTGACTTTAGATTAGAACCCACGTGTCCCAAGTTCTGTCTCTATTATATACTACAGTCTAATTAGCAATATCTATTTACTCTTTCGAGCTCTTAACAACTTTTTTCTTCATATTGCTGTGCAGTGTACACTAGCTCTTTTCGCCGAAACTTGCATGCGGTGAATTTCATTGACAGCTGCCCTTTTTGGAAGATAAAAAGCTGAATTCATTTTTATTGACTGTTTCAATCTCTCTCTCTCTCCTTGTACGAGGGAAATGCTGCTTTTCTTGAATCATTTTTTCACAGGGACAAAGCATAGTAATGGTAAGTGAAGATGGGACACACTGATATGCAGTACAACTTGGCCCTTGGTGTCGGAGACCAGTTGGACTTGCGGTGACTTGAAGTCTTTTTCCCACTCTTCCTCTGCAGTGAATTCATTACGAAGCTGAAAACTTGTAGGACACTGCTCCAAGTAAAAAAAAAAGACCGCTTTCGGTCGCCTCAATCAGGACAACAATGTGGACTTGTAAACAATCGAGCAATATAAACATTAATCCGGTACTGCTAATATCTAAGTCACCATCTTTATATGTATGGATATTAAGATGGATGATTTTTTGCATTTTGTTGTTCCATGACCAGTCACTGTCACCAATGTCTGAGTCTCCATCATTTCCTCCACCGTTAATAGACAAACCGTTATTAGATAAACATAAATTAGGTATTAGTCCTTTCATCCACGGCTAATGGACAAACATTGATTAGGTACTAGTCATAAACCCGTTCCTTGTGCTGGTCCATGAAATCATATTAAAATGTTGGAGGGGCATTATAATCAAGCTAATTGTTAACATTATAATGTCAATTGTGATTGTTAGGTTAGACATGACCTAAATTATAATTTAGTTATATACCTTTACGAAAAATTCCAATAAAGTTGTTTCGATCAATTTTCGTCCGAATTACTAATGTAGCACTTCAGTCATCACCAACCGTCTTAAGTGGCACACCGCCATGTCAACGTCGGAAATTGGCTGAAAATATTATATTAGAATTTCGTGCAAAGGTTTATCACTAAATTAACAAAATTAGAAAGTTAAGGACTGAATTGGTATTCATACAATATGCTTATGATTAATTGGGTAATATTCCCCAAAGTTACGAGAGATGTTCTCTTTGCAATTAAGTTGACAAGGATCTTTTGCATAATGACTATCTAGTTTATGAGGAATAAGTGCACATAAAAAAGTACCATGTAAAGTTAGCATTCTCCTGAAGTGTGTGTGCGCACGCACGCGCACGTGTATGATATAGGGGCATGAGCATGGAGATAGATTTATCTAGAAGCCCATGAAATATTATGTCGGTCCCGTGAACCAGTTAAACTTAAACCTTTGGCCTATGTAGGTAGCTCTAACCTAAAGCAGTTTGCACGTAGTTTGTGAGATTCGAACCGGCAATCTCTAGTTCCTGAGCTGGAAATCCCCAACGACCCAACCAACTGCTCCAATTCCGGGGTTAAGTAAGCATAATTTTTATAGTAAAGAGAAAGTGTACTTTCTATTCTGCATCATTTCTTAAGAAAATGACAAAGTTAACATAAAATTATCGTATAGTAATATTCAATAAGTGCAAGATAGAGATGCTAAGTAAGTATAACGTTAAAATAATAGTATCATATGATAGAGAGGCATAATATTGGTCTCAGATCTACTTTGAAAATTAAGCTAGCTGAAATTCTCTCTTAATTAGTTTCACATGACAAACCTGACCATAAAAAATTGTTATGTTGGAAATGTCGATTTACCCCTAATTCCATATATGAATTATGACAGTCTAAAAACATTTTAACTAAATAGAAAAAATTTAAAGCCATGACAGACATTTTCTTTGTAATTAGATTGAGTAGAACTTATGTTGTTAATAAGGAATTAGTGCATATAAGTACATTATGATATATTAATAGTCTATCTAGTCAGTAGTGCAAAATATTAGCTTAGGTGGAGCCTAATTTTTTTTATATGGAGAACGTAGCAAATCCAATTCTTGAAATTAGGAGAAGTCTTTTCTAGCTATCTAGAATGCTATGTATCAACCTTAGAGGCCGGGCTTAGAGAAGAGACAATTATTACATAATTATATAGATATTGATTCTCCCATTGATTTTGTACATGAAGTTATTGCATAATTTTGTATCAAAAAGTATAAATTCTCTAAAAAATAAACACCCAACAAACACAATGACGAGCATGATCGAAGTCAAAGCCCTTTCCATACACAGAGATAATGTAGCTGAAAACGGACATATAAAGGAGACGAAAGAAAATTAACGGCAAGCTAAAAATGTTGGCTAGCATTGTGTCCTTGTGGTCTCTCAAGGAAATATGACACGGACAAATTTGGAACGACCCTAACAAAGTATCACGTGTAAAATTTAATATTCTCATGGCATGTAGAAAAAAAAAACAAGATCCTTTCGTGATTGGTCAGTTCATCCACAATAATTTATATTATATTTATATTCATATTTTAAGAGGGGCTTCAATCGTCAAGAACTTAACCACAAGGTCAGATCTCTTAACGTTGAAAAATATTGCAAGCAATTTG